GGATTCAAACCTAGTTTCCCAACAAATGGGTGAATTCTTACGAATGTAAATGTCCAGGCCAAGCATGTGGCTATTGGAGTCTTTACGAATTAAAGGAAGATAACCATCAACACTAAGATCACAAGATGAGACAGCTGAACTCAAATTAGTCTCACAAAGAGCAAGTAGGTCTGGTGAACTTTGCAAGAGATAAGACTCAACAGAAGAAAAGTTACTTTGAAGACCAGCCGGCCTCAGAACCATTAAACTGAGTTTTAGAGCTGTACCCTCATTTGGAGATAATAGAATGAGTTGCCTAGTCATAAAAACAGAGACACAAGCAAAACCCATGAATCGAGTCAAGAAGATCCAGCGTTCAGCATCCTAAACTGGAAACAATGTATTGAAAATACATCTGCGCCAGCCTAATAGATGAAGAAGGGGTGCGAGGCTGGTCAACAGATAAAATCTGTTTACCCCTTTAGGTTGATTTAGAAAATCACAAAATAAATATTAAAGTTGTCTCTTTAGAAAAATGATATAACTATTTTATCCAAATGCCTTGAAAAGAGCTGCAATTGACAAAGAGAGTATTTTCTGTGAATTGAAATGCAAAAAAGCAAAGCTGGTAGAACTTAAGGAACGATTTCATTAATAAAATATATAAAAATTTTTATTATTTCATATAATTTCATTTATTGATATAGTATAATGTTAAGAATGCCCTGGTCTACAAAACTGGTTAATGCCAGGAAGGCATGGGTTGGGTTGTAAAAATTGCCTCAGCAATCCAAGTCATTCATCTTAATAAATCGCGTTATAAAAGTCTTTCAGAGCCACCCAAGTGACAAATGGATGTTAAACCTATAATGGATGTTAAACCTATTTGTGTGGCCACCCTGTTAACCACTGTAATGATCCTTCAATAAAGAATTCTATTTGTTTAATTATTCCACTGATTCTACCAGTGTTCTTCAGCAATACTGGCAGCTTTCCTGTTTTCCCAGAATTACATTGTCGATGTGTTGGTCTAGCAGGTAACTAATAAGAACATAGTGGATTTCTATGATGGAACCTTTCTTGGTTAAAGTTTTATCGATTCTTCCCTCAAATCCAATTACTTCAAAACCATTTTTTCCTCTTTGTTGAACTTGAATTTTTGTTTCCCCAAATATGAATCTTTCCCGTTCTACCTTTTTTTGATCCAGAGTGTTTGATTTATTTTAAAACCTGTAATGCTGCATTAACTATTACTGCTGTTGCACGACTGCTAACTGTAGCAATCTGGCAAGTCTAGGGTAGCATAATTTATTTAGGGCGTATTTTAAAAATGTTTTTTGAATTAGCCGTGGTCACACCGTCATAGCGAAATGTAATTTGCATGGTCATATAAAGACATGAAATCGTACGCCTTCCTGTGAAAGCCTGTAAAGTGAAAATTCCTTTTTGGTACATTTTTAATTGCATTTGAAAAAAATTACTTCAAAACTTATCTTTTGAAAGTTTTATTAAAGTTACACAAAACTCTTTTACAAATTACTTCTATTGATTGTTTAATAAATAAACAAATATTATTTAAATTATTGAAAAGTGAAATTAAATTATTAAAAAGAAAAAATATAATATTTTTAAGTTGTATAAACATTTTTTATAAAAAGTTGAAAAAAATTATTTAAAAAAAATAAAGAAGTCTTTTAAAAATAGTAATTTTCAATCATTTCATGCTTTGAATAATAAGTTAAATAAAAAAAAAAACTTAAAAAGATAATATTTTAAAAGATTTTTAGAAAGACATGAAAAATCAGTTTCAAGCGTTTATATTTATTATAAAAAATCCTCCTAAAAAAAATTAAATATAACATTTAATTTACACATAATACCTTTGTTTTAAATGATCATTATAATTAATTTATTTTATTTAAAGTTTTCGCGTAAAATAAAAACTTTAAAAAAGAAAACAAATAAAAGTTGCTCTTAACATAACAATTTTTTAAATCGCATTTAAATTATATTTTATATTTAATATATATATATATATATATATATATATATATATATATATATATATATATATATATATATATATATATATATATATATATATATATATAAATTTTTAACGCATTTTCTCTCTGATTTTCAAAAATGTATTTTTTGGTATTGAGGTGATCTTATTTCATTATTTATATTTCCATTATAACATCCAATATATAATATGGCGGGGGCTTAAAAATTAAAAAATTAATATATATCAATTTTTATTTTACAGACATACATGAAAACATAATTAACTTGAATGTTCTTAAAACATCTTGCGAAAGAATAAAAAGAATGTTTGCGAACACTAAAAACCCACCAAATTTGCGAAAAAACTATTTCTATTGGTTCAAAAAACACGCTGACTAAGCGAAATAAAGTTCTAGAGTATTCTGATGAAATGTTTTAGGAATTGTATTATTTACGATTTGTTGTGTTTTGAGATATCTTGCATAAATTTTTTTAAGAATATATTATCAAATTAACTATTATTTTAATATTATGGCTCATTCTCGGAGCCACATCTGTAAAGCCGTAAAACTTTTAAACTATTATCATTTGTTTACAAAAATAAATGTTTTATAATATATATTTTTTAAATTGTCAAAATTTTGAAAGTTAATTACAAATTATATATTTTATTAGTATATTCTTAATTTTTATATCTTTTCTTAGTGCTTGGTTTAATTAATTGTTCGTTAGATTTGTAAAAAACTAACAAACAATTAATAAAATAAACTTTTAATAAAATAAGTAACTATAGTTAGCTATTTGAGTAAAATTTGATAGTAAAATATTTAAAGAATTTCTAGATTGTTTCCAATGATGTCATGCTCTAAAACTCCTATGAATTAAACGCGCTTGAATAAATTATCAAGTCTGTATAATGCGCCTGGAAAATCGCGTTTATTTTACATACTCAAAATACCAGAGAAAATGGAGAAGACCAGCTTCGACTAAAATAACAAGATTTGTTTTTCTTGGTATACATTTATTAATTAGTTTTAATCAAAAAAAATTTGCTCAGACGTTTTTTTTTAACATTCTCTTTAATATGAACACAACATGTCTCGGGAGTTGGTAGTCCCATTAAGAGCTACAAACTTTACAATAGCATTCAAGAACTTTAGATTATACAGGTCTGGAAATTAAAGCTAAAATTAGGATTCCATAATATACCACAAGTATATTATATTAAATTATATAACATAATATCTTGAAAGGCTTTAAATAAATTTTAAAAGATGTTTGTAGTCCACAATAAGATTTTTGGTGTTTATCTTTTAATCAATCTAATTGTTTATCTTGCAGACCAGATTTTCTACAGAAATAACTTGTTTGTTTAAACTTGTTTAGACTTAAGAATTGAAAAGCACCTTAACTACAATAAGTATTAATCACTACTGTAAATTTTTTATAGTCTACAACATTGAAAAAAAAAGTCCTTTTAAAATAGATCAACCTGATACTCAAATGAAACAAAATTTTATAAAAATCAAAAAAATAATTGTTTTTTAAAAAAAAAATTAAAATTTATTTTAAAAAAATAATTTTTTTTAAAAAAGGGGGGTTTTAAGACACCCTGATATGTATGTATGTATCTAGTGCGTAAGTTTTTTTTTTAATTAAAAAATCTTGATTCTACTGAAAGTTATGCTTCAAAACAACTGTATTTTTGAAAAATCTGCTACTAGGCCTCTGATTTTAGTTCCCTAACCACGACAATACATACATATATATATATATATATATATATATATATATATATATATATATATATATATATATATATATATATATATATATATATATATATATATATATATATATATGTATATATATATATATATATACAGGCCTCGGCGGGAAGCGAGAGCTTTAGCTCTCGCTCTCGCCCACACTCCCCTAAAACAGTTTACAGGAGCAATTTACGGCTCTCGCAAAAGTATAATTTTTCTCATGAAGGTATAATTAAAATTACAAAAGAGTGCTAATTTAAATGAGGAGCAGCTCGCACAGCTCCCCAAATTCGTTTTAGGAGAGCTTTTCTCAGCTCTCGTGCTCATTTGTTCCCGCCTAGGCCTGTATGTATATATATATATATATATATATATACATATATATATATATATATATATATATATATATATATATATATATATATATATATATATATATATCTTATACTGCTGAGTTAGGTGAGCATGGTGACGTCATACTGAAATAGCCCTGACTGAGGGTTTGGTATGGGTCAGCAACCTTTTCATTCATTATTCTTCGTATATTATTAGTCTAATTTAGACTAGCAAAAAAAGTGAGCAGTTGCGCATATATATATATATATATATATGCTATAGTAGATTGATGGGAAAATTTTAGGTTACATTACAACTACTTCTTCGATAGAATATTTTTTAATTTTTCATGCAACAGTTATACTATGAGCAATCTTAAAATCTTTAAGAATGGATTTGTTACAGAAGAGCAGGTATTGTGTTGTGGCATTTTACCACTGCATGCTTTAATTGGGCTTTTTGAATTTGTACAAAAAACCCAATCAAAGCATGAAGCAACCTCTGCACCTGCGTCCCTACTTGCACCTGCGTCCCCACTTGCTGTACTCTTAAGTTTGTTTAAAGAAATAAAAAAAAGATTAAAAAAAAAGACCATAAAAAGCTTAAAAACTTAAATTTTTAATTAGTATATCGCTTTCTTAAACCTAATGATTTGCTTTGTATTTCTTACACAAGATTAAATCAGGTGTTACTTTTTAAATTTATAAAATTAATAACATGACTTTAAATTATTCAGATGTCTCACAAACATTTAGATTTTAATTTAGGTGTTTTGCAGAAAACATTTTTAAGGTATTTGACCTAACTATGTTTTGTTTTAAAATACAACACTGTTATGATAATAATCATTTATTTGGAATACTGTTTTATTTGAATTTATGTTGATTTACATTAAATTTATTTTTGAAGGTTGAGGATGTACTTTCATATTTACAAAGCAAATTTGCCATAAATATTGATGATGTTGATGTTATTAAACTGCAACTGACATCAAGAGAAAAAGTGGAAAAATTGATTTCTATTTTATTGTTAAAACAAAGCAATTATTTTGGTGTGTTCTACAGTGCATTAAAGTATGCAGAATATGATCACTTAGCAGAACTACTTGTGAATGGTTTAACTTCAGTTATTGATCATCATGATGGTGGTGACGAGGAATTGGCTAGTTGTAAGTAATTTATAACAACCTAAAATTTATTTTTATCTTTAAGCTTAATATTGATTGTTGTTGTGTCTTTTTTTTTTCTTTATCATTGTATAACTTATTTCAATTTTCATAAATGTATTGAGATTATTTTTAATAAAACTGTGTTAAAAATAGATTTTTCCTTGAAAAATGAAAATAAATTTTTATTAGTTTTATAAAAATAATAAAAAAAAGCATTATGCGAAAATAATTCATTAATTCATTTTTTTAATTGAAGTTTTTTAAACAAATTCTTATTTTATGCAGCCCTGAAAGGATTAGCAGTTATCTTTCTTGTTTAACGAGTTTAAATGTTTAAAATTTTTTTTTCTTTTTTAATCAAAATTAAGGATTTTTAATCAAAGATAGATTTGTATCTAAATAAAATAAGACTTGTATTTAAAACACAGTGTTTTAAAATTTAAAAACTTTTTAAAATTAAAATTAAATGTTTTGAAATTAAAACAAAGTACTTTGTTATATAGTTTTTGTAAAAAGCTGTTTCTCTGGTACTTTGTTTTGGTGTACTTGAGTACATTTTTTTTTTAAGTTTTTGTCATAAAAAACCAATTAATTCAAAGTTCCACTTTACAAGAAGGTAAACTTGTTACATTTTCAAAGAAATAGTAATAATGGCTTTATGACATTAATACAATTTTTAATTGTATTATAAATGAGAAAGTGTTTATAAATTATAAACAAAATATGAGATGGAGTGGATGAAATGTTTTTTGATGGAGTGGACTAAAAAAATTTTGTTTCTGTGTAATAAGGTTATATTTTGTTTCATACCAGTGCCTTTAATCAGAGACAAATTTTGCTTTTAAAAACATCTGATTAAAATATCTGCCTCAAATATTTAAGTTAAAAGGAAATATATATATAAAGGCAATGCTCAAGTGTTTCCATTGTGATATTCCATTGAAGCACACAATTTAATATTGAAAAAATATCAGAATTACATATTGTTGAATTGCAGTCATGAACATTTTATAGTATCCTGTTTTAGATGATGAACCCTGGACCTTTTTGACTTTACTCATAAATTGCTGCTTATGTCTCCTTAGTAGTGGCCAGTCCTTAGTAGTGGCCATGAAACTCTTCCTGTTATCTCCTAATGAGAGCACAACTTGTGCCTCCTTTAAAAAATCCTGGATTTAGACAGGTATGGTGATTTTATTCCTTCTTAATTTTAAGTCTCACCTCCATGCCTTTCTCTTTCTTGGTTTTAAGTCAAGCCTTACCCCCATTATTTTTTATCTTTTTCGCAAGAACAATTCTCTAGAGAACATACATCTTTTTTTATTGTAGGAAGTTAATACAAAAAGATACTGTGTGACACCAAGAAATTGATGCAAAAAGACACTGTGTGATGCCAAGTTTATGCAAAAAGATACTTAGTTACACCAAAGTGTGACACTCTATGATAGTAAAGTACATTATTCTTAGATTACTCAATCTTTATATCAGAAGTTAGATTATAAAGACTTTTAACAAATCTTTAACAATGTCATTAATTAAGGCAAGTCTAACATTCCATTTATCATTCATGGATCTAATCTTATTACCTCCCCAGGATAAGGAAAAATACAAAGAATATTTCCTCTAACTGATCTTTTGAATCTAATTGACACACTTTTCCTGTCATCCCAAAGAAACAGGAAATCCATTGTTAAACTTCATTAATCAATATCTTTATTATCTGTTTAATATCAAAATTTTTGATTGAAAACTTGATCCGTTTTTTAAGTTTATATAGATTTTCAGTGTGCCAAATTTTATTGTACCAATCTTTTAAGTTTAGACCAAAAATCCTTAATTGGTTGTAATTCTAGCACATTAGCAAGGTTATGCAGATTAGCAAGGTTATGCATTTGGTACAAATTCAACATTTTTTGATTTTATGTGAATAATGCGACAAAGCAAGATCAGGCCGGAAACTCATTTTTATGATTTTTACTTTTTAATAAATTTTTCTTATTTGGCAAGACATTTTAAAACATACTTATTTTCATTGACTGCTTGGCCCGATGGAGCTATGTAACGGTAAGAGATTTCTTTTTTCAAGAATGCAATCCAAACAAGTAATTGTGGCTTGAATTTGTCTTTTCTTTTCAACCTTACATCATTTGATACTCCATTTATGTCAGAAGAGTAGAATCCAGCGTTTCCAGAAATATTAGTTTTGCTTAAATAAAAGTATGATTTATTGTCAATAACAATTGTTTTTTTTTAGCAACATTTCTAATGAACAGCTGGTTTATACGCCGGTGTTTTTTTAGGTGTTTTAGTTTTTTTATGATAACAAATATATAGTATAATATAATATAGTAATAGAATATATAGTATTTTTATTGATAATTTTACATATGTATGGTTATGATACATTGAACAGGCTTGGTTGGGACGTGGGAGTGATTGCTCTTGAGTACTGACCAAGAAATAATACGGAAATAATATTTAGTTGTGAAAAACTGGCCAGAACTGGCCTGGTCATTTTAAGAACATTTAAGTTTAAGTATGTTCGTAAAACAAAAATTTTTTGTTATGGAAATACATTAAAAAATACATAAACTTGAGTGTTCTCAAAACATCTTGGTGCAGAAGAATAAAAAGATTATTTGTGAATTCTAAAGACCCGCCAAATCTATGAACAAACTGGTTCGATTGGTTCAAAAAATATGCTGACTAAGCAAAATAAAGTTCTTTAGTATTCTGTTGAAATGTTTAAAAAATTGTTTTATTCGAGATTTGTTAAGTTTTGAGATTTTTGGCAAAAATTGTTTAAAGAATATTTTATCAAACTAACTATTACTGTAGGCTCATTCTCGGAGCCACATCCTTGAATCACATTCTCGGAGCCACATCCTTGAATCACATTCTTGGAGCCACATCCTTGGATCACATTCTTGGAGCCACATCCTTGGATCACATTCTTGGAGCCACATCCTTGGATCACATTCTTGGAGCCACATCCTTGGATCACATTCTTGGAGCCACATCCTTGGATCACATTCTTGGAGCCACATCCTTGGATCACATTCTCGGAGCCACATCCTTGGATCACATTCTTGGAGCCACATCCTTGGATCACATTCTCGGAGCCACATCCTTGGATCACATTCTTGGAGCCACATCTGCAAATCTTTTAAACTATTATTATTTGTTTACAAAAATAAATGTTTTAAATATATATTTTTTAAATTGTCAAAATTTTGAAAGAGTATTATATATTACAGATTTTATTAGTATATTTTTATTTTTTATTTAAAAAGTATGTATTTTTTATGTAAACGTAATTTTGTGTATTTGTTTTTATTCTAATGTAATCTTTTAAAGCAGTTTTATGATTTATTTTGTAAACAAAAAGACTTTCATCAATAATTGCGTTTTCAATGAAATTATTTATCATCAAAGTTAATAAAACTAATTATGAAATAAACATACAAAAAGTTTCTCGTTACTAAACACAAACATGCATACAAAATAACTCACAGATGAACAAGCACCGCGCCTGAGGTCATGACAGAACACAAGTATATATATATATATATATATATATATATATATATATATATATATATATATATATATATATATATATATATATATATATATATATATATATATATATATATATATATATATATATATATATATATATATATATATATAAAAGTTTACTATTGCTCTGTTCTCTAAGTAGATTGAGCACTCTATTTGTAGAATACACTAACATAATTTGTATATACATATATATTTTGTATTTTCACTTTAGTTGTCATTCTTACAAACTCGTTATACTTAAACTTAAAGTTACTTTTTTTGCATATTTTATGACGTTTTTTGTTTTGGTTTTTGCATTTGTTTACTAAATTATAAATAAATTTTTGCATTAGCTTTATGAAATTTGATAATTTTTTATTTTTTTCACTTAATCAAAAACTTAAATAGTTGTTAAATAGGACGGTTTACTTTATGAAAATAATATATAATTGCTTGAAATGGTATACAAATCTTTGTTCTTTCCATCATTGATGAAAGAACAAGATTTTTATACTATTTAATAATCCTTATTAAAGATTATTTCTTATTTACACCCTTTAATTATTTCTTATTTACATCCTTAAATTAAGGCTTAATATGGATATGAATAATAAATAATCCTTATTAAAGTTTAATAAAATTAAAAGTAAGGCTTAATGAGGATGTGAATAAGAAACAATCCTTATTAAAGCTTAATAACCCTTATTGAGCCTTAATAAGAGTTATTTCATATTCACATCCTCATTAAGCCTCAATTTAAGGATGTGGATAATAATTTAAGGAATATAAAATAAGAAGTAGTTCTTATTATAAGGATTGTTTCTTATTCACATCATTATTAAGATTTAATTTGGTTTAATTGGTTAATCTTACAATCCTTTCTAATATCTCTTTTGTTGACATTTCTGAAAATTATATTTTGGCAAGACTGCTTGATATTTAATTTTATATTCATTACTTTTTCTATTAATTTGTATATTTTGTAAATAAAGGTGATTAATTCAGGAAATTTAAGGCGAATAATCAAATTGCCAGATAATAAAGTTAGTTGGTGATCCAAATTGGAAACTGGGAGATTCTATTCAAAACATCATTAGCAGTTTTCAAGTTTAAATCAGAAAATAAACTTTTAGAAGCAGAAACATCTTCTTGAACAAATTCTCTAGAATTTGTTCCAGAAGATATTCGGGTAGAAGTTGGGGTAGAACAATTAACAGAAGGTAGCAAATCATCAACATTGTTAAATTATGCAAGATTGACTTTTTATTTTAACTATCTGTATTTCCAACAAGGCTGGGAGCAACCACTTTTAGAGTTGGTAGATACTGGAAGACCTAAGATAAAGATTATAAAGCAAAGTAACGATTAACAGACAACTAAAAAGATTGCAAATTATATGAATCAGGAAAACAAGATGAATAAGGAGTATTATTAAAAACCGATGTTCTAGGAGAAAAACTAGACAAATAAGATTTTTTAGAGCACCTAGGAGCAATAAAATACTATATTATTGTATACAAATACTAACTTCGCATTAATTTGTATAAAGTTTCCATGAGAGGTCAGTACAAAAAGATAATCAGAGATGATGTAAAGTGAAGACACAGTAAAAATGTTGCCATTCATCAATATAGGAATATCAACAAGATTGCTAACACTTTTTAAAAACCTCGCCAGATACACCATACCATCCAGAGCAATAAAATGTGCCTCACTGCCTCTATGTAATTATAATTTCAAACCTCTCTGTAGCGACAGTTAACAGGTCAGCTCGAAATTAAGACAATTCAAATCATAGGCGGTATAACATATAATACAGGCTTGGTCGGGAAGCGGGAGCGATCGCTCTCGATTGCTGACCACGTAAATAATATTTAGTTGCGAAAAGCTGGCCAGATTTTTAGTCGTTTTGAGAACATTTTAAAAAGCAAAAAAAAAAAAGCGAAGATTAGTTGGACCGATGAGAGGCAATTACAAAAAAAATAAAATTATGCGATGTTTTTTATATAAAGTAACAACTTACGATTGTTTAAAAGGGAAATTAATATTCTTTATTTAACTAAGTTTGCAAGTTTTAGTTTTACTTAATCTAAATTATTTTATAAATAAAAAAGGTAATTTTTTTAATACCTATTTTATGTTTCGCGTAGTTTGAAAAGTTTAACATACTTGAAGCGATTCTTCTTAGTAAGATAAACAAATGAAATAATTAAATCATTGAATTACTATAGGAATTAAATTATCAAGATAGAAATCGACTAAAAAGGTTAAAAATACTTAATGACCAGGAAGCGAAACTGCTTCACAATATCGCTGATGATGTTTAGTGAGTGGGCTTTTTAATTTTAATAAGTATTTAAAGCAGCAAAAAGTATAACGAGTTTTAAGAATGGCAATTTAAGCGAAAATAATTAGAGTTAGTAAACCTATATCTAGAAACTTTTCTTTAAATCTAATTATTTACTATATATATTTGTGTTTTGTCGTGACCTCAGGCGCGATGCTTGTTCATCCGCGAGTTACTTTGTATGCGTTGTTTGTGTTTAGTAACCAGAAACTTCTTATATGTTTGTTACATAATTAGTTTTATTAACTTTAACGATTATAACTTCATTGAAAACGCAATTATTTTTGTAAGTCTTTGTTTAAATCATGAAAATTGCTTTAAAAGATACATTATGATAAAAAACAAATACACAAAATTACATTTACATAAAGAATACAATCTCTTTTAAAATAAAATATAAGAATATACTAATAAAATCTATGATTTATAATAAACTTTTAAAATTTTGACAACTTAATATATATTTAAAACAGTTATTTTTGTAAACAAATAATAAATATTTTTAAAACAATTCATGCTAGAAATCTCAAAACGTAACAAATCGTGAATTAAAACATTTCAACAGAATACTCTAGAACTTTATTTCGCTTAATCGGCGTATTTTTTGAACGAATAGAATTAGTTTGTTCGTTAATTTGGCGGGTTTTTAGTGTTCGCAAATATTCTTTTTATTCTTGCGCTCAAAGATGTTTTGAGAACATTCAAGTTTTTTATGTCATGTATGTAATACAAAAATTTTTTGTTTCGTACATAAACTTAAATGTTCTCAAAACGACTAAAAAAACCTGGCCAGTTTTACGCAACTAAATATAATTTCCGTGGTCAGTATTCGAGAGCGATCGCTCCCGCTTCCCGACCAAGCCTGATAATATAATCATAGAGGATATAACATAGAAATAGACTAATATAACATATAACATAAAAACATATGAATCGAAACAATTCATATGTTTCTTATGTTATTGACAAATAAAGCCACCTGTGAGCTTTTCAAGATGATTATTAATTATGAAATATATTCAAAGTCAAATTGCCCAATTAGCTTGTGCAACCTTTTTCAGTAATTTCCTGACCGGTCTGTAAATTGTGCAATAATTTCAAAATGATTTATCTTTCAGATTCCATGATTCCTTTATGCATATTTGCATATGGTAACCCTAATTTTTGTTCTACATTATATAATTAATTAAAAAAATTTCAGTCTGTAAAAGAAACAATTCTGTGTGGTCCCAACAAATTTAATAAAAAATGGATCACTATTTAAAATTAAAAATCAAATGTAGTAACGGTTCAAAAGTATTAAATGTATTTAAAGTCGATAAGCCCAATTGGTTTGTACATCCTTTTTTCTGTAATTTACTGACCCGTCTGTAACTTATGCTATAATTTCTCTGACAGGTCTGTAAATTATGTATTATTTTTGATGATGTTTTTTTTTTTCCCATGATTCCTTTATGCATATTTGCATAGTGTAACCCTAATTTTTTTCATTATAGCACAATTAAATAAGTAAAAACTCTTCAGTCTGTTAAATAAACGGTTCTTGATAATTCCGACAAATTTAATAAAAACTGGATCACTATTTCAAATTTCAAATCAAATGTAATAACGGTTCACAAATATCAAAAAATTTAAAAACTATCAAACTATTTAAAGTTGATATGTTTCATTTGTTTGTACAGCCCATTTTCAGCAATTTACTGACCAATCTGTAATTTATGGGATTATTTCACTGGCTGGTCTGTAAATTATGCAATAGTTTTCAAGTGATGTATTTTTTGGATTCCATGATTCTTTCAAGCATATTAGCATGGTATAATTATAACTTGACTCCGAATTTTATTCTCGAAAAATGAGAAAATAATATCAAAACCTTCAGGCTGTAAAGTAGATGATTCTGGACACAACAACAGATCACAACAGATTTTCTTTAAAAAAATTTTGGTTTTCTATTTTCTTATAGTTGTTTGATCACTGTGAAAATTTTCAAGTCAAATATAATCACGATTCAAAAGTTATTAAAAAGTCAGTATGACCCCAAAAATATATAAATTAGTAAAAACTCTTAGTCTGTAAAATAGGTGATTCTGGACAATCCTGACAGATTTAAAAAAAAAATTTGGAATTTTATTTTTTTATAGTTGGTGGGTCACTATGGGAAATTTCAAGTCTAATGTATTAACAGTTCAAAAGTTATTCAAAAGTCAATAATACTCTCATTTTTGGTGCCATAACATAGCAAATTTTTCATACTTAAGCCCTATACCTTTTGTCAAAAAATCATCAATTTTTCCTCCACAAAAAGTTTAATAACTTTTGATCTGCTTAATTTCAAAGGCCGAATAACCCCTCATTTTTTAAGTCAAGCCAAGCTCTATACAATGACATTATTGTCATTGTATAGAGCAAATTGTCTGGAATGGCTATCTTTAGGTTAATTTCTTACTTGATCTTTAGCTTTCTTTCTTTTTTATTAACTTCCAACTTAATTAGTGGCAGGTTGCAGCTTTATCAAGAGTAAATTTGTTTATTACTTTTTTATGATGCTTAAAAAGGAAAGGAAATATATATTTTACTACAACTATTTTTTTTTGAAAGTTTTTTGAAATTTATTGTTTAAGAGGTCATTTCAAATCTCTATAAAGATCAAATAACCTTTGACAGTACTTTCAAATGTTTTGAATGTTTTTACTTTTTTATTTGTTACTACAATATTCTAATATTAGATTTACTAAAATAGCACTAATTGTGTAAAACCATTATTTGTTTTATTTTTATTTTTAACAATTAATGTTATTTTAGTTCTGTTATTTTTAAAAATAATTTATTTTTTTAGATGATGTTATTCTTAAAAATGGAGGAGTTCCAAGTTTACCTCAGGTATTTGTCAAACGAAATGATTGCATTCAAAAAGTCAATAATGCATTGTGCAACTTAAAAAGTGAAGGATGGGTTGTACTTCATGGTATGGCAGGTTGTGGCAAAACTGTTCTTGCAATCAGTGCGTTAAACAATGAACGAATGATCCATTCGTGTTTTCCTGGCGGAGTGTTTTGGATTAATTTAGGGCAAATTAATGAAACTCGATTGTTGATGAAAATGCAGAATCTCTGTTTACTGTTAGATTTAGTACATAGCAATCAACGCATTCCTCAAAATTTAGAAGAAGCTAGAGACAGATTAAGAATTTTATTTTCTCATCAACACCCAAGATCGCTGCTTGTTATTGATGATTTATGGTCATCTTCTCATGCTAAATATTTTAATATACATGTTCGAACACTAGTCACAACACGGTACTCTGCAGTTGCTGACCAATTGTTAGAAGATATTTATAAAGTTCCTGTTATGGAACAATTACATTTGGGGCAAAGTCGACAGATTTTATCGCAGTGGGTGAATATTAGCATACCAGATCTCCCAAAAGAAGCAGATCTAATTATTGAAGAATGTAAGGGCTCGCCACTAGCTCTTTCAATGATTGGAGCTTTATTGAAAATCCATAAAAACAGGTGGAATTATTATCTTACACAGTTAAGAGAGCAAAAAACTAGTAAAGTCAGAAGCAAAGTAGCTTATGAGTATCCTTCCTTATATGATGCAATTGCTGTTAGTTTTAATGATTTAGAGGAAGTTATAAAAAAACATTATGAAAGTATGGTTGTATTTGAGGAGAATTCTTTGATTCCAAGTAAAACATTAGAAATCTACTGGGAATTGGATGTAAGTGATAATATTTTTTAGTATTGTTGAATGTAATATAAAAATTGATTAAATGCCAAACTTGTCTTTTTTATTAAATATTAAACATTTTTCAGTTGTTTAAAAATGTTTAAGTTTAAGTTGGCCCTGCAACCATTCTTTTTACATGTGGTGGTGGTTGGTGGGGGTGGGGGCATGCATTAGTTTGTATGAATGTGAATTTATAGTATAAAATAATTGTTTCATATTTTATAATTCTTTTAAAAGAAAGATAGTTTCAGTTTTTTTTTGTCAAGATTTTTATTTTATTGTTTTAACAATTGGTGGTCAGCTCACAACTTTAGTCTGCAATCTTTTTATAACTAAAAGTTTATATTAGATTTTGACCAAGTTTAAAGTGCTTTTATAATCAACTGTATTCTGCACTGTTATTTATAAAAAGAAACATTTTAAATTTAAAATGAGCTACATGCTTGTTTTATTAAAAATTTCTCAGCCAATATATCTCATGTAAAGTAATTTTTAACAAATCCAAGAAAAGTATATTTTAGTTCCAGTAAGATTATATATTTTTAAGTAAATATTTTTAAGTTTTCTTTTCATCAAAGCAATGTAGAATTAAATAAAAATACAAATGTTATATTATGTCTGTTAGTTGTTTTAGTTTATCACAGAAGTTTATTACTATAATGTAAAAAAATTTTAAAACATTTTTTTGGTCAAATTTTATTAATTGAAAAAAAAATATTTTATGATAAATATATTCATTACATATTTATTATATCTATATATTTTATATTATATTTTTTATATATATTGTATAATATACAATATCTATACTTTTATTTTGTTCAGGAAGTTGAAACTGAAGACATCATGCACGAGTTGATTGAACACTCTTTAGCTACCAAAACTATGTTAAATGGTGATAACTTTTATTCATTGCATGGTTTAAATTCCGGTTTTTTAAAAGAAAGAGCAAAAGATTTGCACTTGTATCATTCAACTATTGTTAATAAGTATGTATTTTTTAAAATAAAAGGCAAAAGATTTGCACTTATATCATTCAACTATTTTTAATAAGTATTTTTTTGTTGCTATAACTTTTATTTTCTACAATTATTTTTTCTTGTTCTTCTGTGCAGTACAAAAACAATGAAAAATAAAAAATACAACTTACACAGACTACTTTTTTTGAAAAAAACTTTTACAAAAATATAAATTGCTGTCCAGCATGTGATAATTTTGTTGATTGGTCAAACTTAGAAGAAGTTAAAACTAGTGGATTTAAAAATACAGCTTCATTTAAAACGAAATTATCTTGATATTTTCAAAGTAGAATGGAGATCTCAGCTAACAGTAGGTCATTTAAAAGGACTAGATAATTAGTTTTTGCCAATATCGATTGCATTTTCTGGAATGTTTTTTTAAACATTTTGCTTATAGCATATATTATAGTATATTGAAAACCAACCAAAAGGTCTAATGATCAAACATGATGACCTTTTAATCATGAAAAAGTAATCAAGTAACTGATAGCTCTTGGCTTTAATATAAAACAAAAAATTAATTAAATAATGAATTAATTTAAATCCAAATAAATTGACACTAATTGTCATTATTTAAAAGTTACTAATGATTCTACCTATTTAAATTTAAAAAATAAACACTTTTTTTCTTTATATAATTTAAAATCAAGCACACTTTTTTTTTTCTAATTAAATTTAAAAAATCAAGCACACTTTTTTTTTCTTTGTATAATTTAAAATCAAGCACACTTTTTTGTTCTTTCTATAATTTCAACTTATATCAGTTGATGTTGAAGACATTACTCATTTTTCACTTTTTTTTTTGTACTAATTATCGCTGTTTTTAATTTTATTTTCATGATCAAAAAGTAGTTGTAAAATTTTTCTTCTTTAATTTTTCTAGTGTTAAACTTTTAGGTAGGTTTTGGGTAGGCTATCTGATATTTAATTTCTCCATGACTAATTACTTAAAGACTCTCTTTAATACTTAAAGACTCTCTTTTTCTTCATGTCTTTGAAAAGTAGCATGCTTTTCATTCCAGAAAAATCCAATATCCTAGCTTTCTTTGAACTGAGACATTCTTGAATTACTCTATTTTTTTAATTTTGGCTTCAGAAGGTGTTTCAGGAACTAGCTTAAAAATGCATTCCTGTTGGTTTTGATATTGAAAATGGAAAAATTCTATAAATTTTTTTTTATCTCTTTCTACTGATGTTAAATATAATTTTAAGTTTAAATTGAGTAAATACTTCAACCCTTTGTGGACTGGTAGGACTTATTTGTCCCACTGCATTAGCTCCTGTCTTTCTCTTTAACCCTTTTTTTTCTCCTGTAAAAACATTGATAACTTTTCGTTTGGTTTTTAGTCATGTTTTAAATGTACATTTAAAATTAATGTTTACCTAAATATTTGAATTTTAGTTTTAGTGTTGAAAAGGTTTGTATACACTACTTTGCTAAGAAAATTAAAGTGGGGCCAATAAGTTCCGACAGGCATTACAGCCTAATATTTTTAAAAAACAAACATTTTTTCTTAAAGTAGTAAAGTGTAAACAACTAAAATTATAATCACTTTCCGTGCAATGTCACATCTTTCCGTGCAATGTCACATCTTTCCGTGCAATGTCACATCTTTTTGTAAACTTTACAAGTATACATTCATAAGTTCATAATATAAATACACTTTATAAGCGTTTTTTGCATTTCCTTTTATATCCTTAAATAAAATTTTGTCTACTTTTTGAAAAATGATTGAAATAATTAGTTACATGAAAAATGTATTTAGTTTTTTTTTATATTGTAAAAATAAAAGTTTTTTTAATTATTTTTATAAACTTTGATTGTTATTAATAACTTTTATGTATATATTTTATATTCTTCTGCAAATTTTATATTCTGATTGATCTCGTAAAACAGCAATAACAAAAATTCTCATGAGCTTTTTCACTTCACATTACTTTTAAAAATTTTTTAAGTAGTATTAATTTAGCATTCGAGGTACAGTGGTTAGAGACACCTAATATTGCAACAAGAAGTAGTGACAATAAATGATTAAGACTTTATTAAAAAAATTTAAAAAAAAATTAATTTTTCAAATATTGATATTTTTAGTTTATAGAACATATATATATATATTTTTAAATAAAATAAATAAGTACGTAAAAATGTGTGTACTTTGGCCATTAAAGGGTTTTGAGGTCCATAGCAACACATTTTTAAACAAGAAAATTTCAACTTGTTGAAGCTTCTAAACAACAATATTTTTTTTTATGTTACAGCTTCTTCTTTATTATGTGCTTTATGTTTAGTGAATGTTATAAATGGGCTCATGCTTTTTTTTGTAATGTAAGGAATTTTTTCTTTGTTTATTGTATTTTTCTCAAAATGTCATTTTTAGCAAAAATGTAATTTTTAAAACATAATATTATCTGATTGCGACCCTATATTAACTTGAAATTTTCAGGGTGCTTTTTTTATTGTTTGACTTTTGTAATGAACCAGAATTACAAATAAATATGGTGTCAAAGTATATTTAATACCTTTTCTTCTTGCATTTTTTGTTAAAAATTTTAATAAATCTATTAAAAATTAATTTTAAAATGTTCTATGCATCTTCAATGCATGATTCTGGTTCATAACGTCTTCGCATATTTCAGGAACATAAAGTGAAAATTTCAAAACTAAATGATTAATAGAAATGAAAATATCTTGTTTTAAATTAGAGGTAAAAGTTGACAAATCAAGATTTCATATTTAGAAAAATATTAGCATACTTGTTTCAACTTGTGTGATGGTGTTTTTAATTTTGTTTCGATTATTTTAAAGAAAATTTTTTCATTGGGAGTGTACCACCTTAATAGGAAACATTTTATACATCAAACTCCTCTATTCATGAACATTATGTATAGGAATATGAGAATACTATCTAAATTTGCGTCCAGATAATTGTAGTCTTTTTTAAAAGCTATGATTTTTAATGCTGCCTCAATAGCATTTTTAATATTGATTCCTGGGTGTAGTGAATTAATAGTAGTAAATTAAAACTCAAGCTGGTATAAATGACTTTACTTAGCAAATTAATAAATATGGTAACCTAAAGATACAGTCAAATTATTTTACTTTTTTGGGGTTCTTGAGCATACTTTATATAATACTTATGTGGTCTTTAAAAAGTTAATTGGTGAAAAAGTTACATTAATGCAGTTTAAAAGATCAGTCGCATAATTGTTAACAATACTAGGTAGATGACCCAAAATAGTTCTACACTAATGTCTTTAAAATAAAGACTTTTCAAGCACTTTCTTTAAAGTATTTTCCAAAAGGAAATTCTTCTAAGGGTTTAAAGCATTCATCCACAATGTATTTGTTTGATTTATTTGCTGTTTTTTTTGTAGACATTGCTAAAAATATTAAAATTGATGATATTTATGTATCTGATAAACAACCAAAGGGTATCCCTTCAATCTTTAGGAAATAAGATTATTTGATTTTAGTATTCTGTAAATAATTTATATATATATATATATATATATATATATATATATATATATATATATATATATATATATATATATATATATATATATATATATATATATATATGTATATATATATATATATATATATATATATATATATATAGTATATATATATGTATATATATATGTATATATATATACATATATATATATATATATACATATATATATACATATATATATATATATATATATATATATATATATATATATATATATACATATATATATATATATATATATATATATATATATATATATATATATATATATATATATATATATATATATATATATATATATATATGCATACATATATATATATATATATATATATATATATATATATATATATATATATATATACTATATATATATATATATATATATATATACATATATATATATACATATATATATATATATATATAATATATATATATATATATATATATATATATATATATATATATATATATATATATATATATAATGTATATATATATATATATATATATATGTATATATATATATATATATATATATATATGTATATATATATGTATATATTATATATATATATATATATATGTATATATATATGTATATATATATGTATATATATATATATATAATATATATATATATATATATATATATGTATATATATATATATATATATATATATATATATATATATATATATATATATATATATATATATATATATATATATATATATATGTATATATATATGTATATATATATATATATATATATATATATATATATATATATATATATTATATATAT